GCAGCTCACGGATTATCGTTAACAATTTCTAGGGGCTTGTAAAAAAGATTGCATGTCGTGTAAATATTTATTTTGTTTTTTGTGTCGGTCATTTTCAAATAAATTCATCAGCATATTATTCGTTTTAAATAAATATATAACTTTTATGAGAAACGATGATTATCAAAGAACCGTAAGTGCAACTAATGTTTTATCGTTTGGTTGAGCCTTTTACTAACCACGTGTTTCATGTTAATAAATATTTACTTTCGTGTTTTGAATTGGCCTATTTCTAATAAATTATCCCGAGTCACGAAAGTCGTATACCCGAGTCCCAAATGTCGTGGTCATATTTTTCTGAGTCCCAAATGACGTGAGTCCCAAATGACATGTAATCGTTCAATCGAGTACCGTACCCCCAATGTTAGTACTTTCCTTTGGGTTAGTCCATATATATGAAATATGTATATGTAGCAAGAATGCTAGTGTTTATCAAATTTACATTTTAACATTAAATTATACAGTTGTATATCGCGTGGCCTGTAATAAACTTCTATACTGGTACCTGTTATTCGCTTCAACTGGATTGCCGCCATCTTTGAAGGAAGTCAAAAATATGGCACGGACCGTCTCCAACCCGAGTAACTCATGTCAATGAACAAGCGCGTGAAGGATAAATCAATTAAAATTAAAGGAGTTTTTATCTACTTGCCAAATCGCTTTGAATTTAGTGAAGATGTCCGTATACTCGATTTCAAATCACTTTGGCTAGCTCGTTAAATGTACCGATCACTCATCAATTTGCACCTGAATAATCAGGCAAGCTAACCTATTCCTTGTCATGTAAAAATTGATACAATGAAAGTGATTGTTGTAAAATTAGGGTGTTTATTAGGACATTGATGTAATTAACATGGTTATTTTGAAACTGAAGATTCCATCATTCAAGTGTTTACTTTACATCAGTTAAATTAAATTGTTTAATTCAAGTTTCAATTTCAAGTTCTTTGTTATGAGTATAAAATTCATCATTGATGTAAGTAATTAAAGTGGTTATCTTAAAAGTGGTAAAATTAATTTGGTGCAATCAAAATGATTATTTTGAAATTGAACCAATTGATTTGATTAAAATGAAAGTGGTGATTTTGTATTGTTATAATTGATCAATTTAAATTGGTTATTTTGAAATTGATATAATTAAAGTGGTTATTTTGAAATTAGTATAATCACCACCGGCTGCCAGGCAGGATACGCCCACATTTTCGAGAGATGGATAGAAAACAAGCTAAAACGAAAGTGTTTTTTCCTACAATCAAGGGTGTAATGGTGATATAATAATACGTCTTTTTAAATCGGATAAAAATTATGACCTCTATAGGGTCCACAAATTAAAAACGCGATTTTTCGTACAATCAGGGGCCATAATTCAGTAAGTTACGGTCCGATATGCGCGAATATCGAAAGGAACCAAGATCTTTGGGTTATAAACTTACATTTCAAGTTTCAACAAAATCGGATAAAAATTGTAGCCTCTATAGGGTCCACAACCTTGATATACCGTATTTTTACGCTATTTGAGTTTTGGGCCGATTTTCACGAAATTCGAACTCAGCCGTCCTTATGGTGTAACGGTGATATATTAACGCGTTTTTTTAAATCGGATAAAAATTGTGACCTCTACAGTGTTCACAAGCCAAAAACGTGATTTTTCGTACAATCAGGGGCCATAATCCATGAAGTTACGGTCCGATAGATGCCAATATCGAAAGGAACCGAGATCTTAGGGTGATAAACCTATATTTCAAGTTTCATTGAAATCGGATAAAAATTGTGACCTGTAGACTGTTCACAAACAATTGTGGACGGACGGACGGACAGGGGCGACGACAATATACGTCCACATGAAAATGTGGGCGTATAAAAATGGTATTTTTTAATTTTGTATAACTATAGTGATTGTGTGAGGAAAGACTTTATGTTTTAAAATGGTATAATTAAAATGATTATTTCTAAATTTTTGTAAATAATTTGGTGTAGTGAATGTTTCTGTCTTTAAATTGGTGCAATTAAAGTGATTATTTTTAAAGGAGCTAAATCGCTAATATTTGGGACCTAGAAATTGACCCAAACGGGTCGCAACGCAGATAATAATGTAATCTGATTGTATATGAACTGATTTACATTCTATTGTTTCAGCTTTGGCTCAGTTAGGTTCAGGGAAATACGGCATAAGTCTCAACTGAATAGAAATTTCTAACGTCTGGTTATTCCAGTCTGTTGCGCATGCTTTCCAGATAAGTTATGGCGTCGCTGTATGACATGAGTTGTGGAATATGTCTAGCCTTGCTCTTTCTGGTCACTTGTTACAAATGACGATGAAATGCACTATGGTACACGATTCATGCACCAATGGTAAAATGTTTATTTTGTCTTAAACATTGGATATCAGAAGCCTACCTTTTCCCGGTAAGATAACAACATCAATGTTGATTTGAATTGACAAATCATTCGTGTTTTCAACGTTTAAGACTTTGGATGATATTGAGTTAGAGACTTAGCTACTTTAAATTTGAGTAATTGAAGTGGTTATATTAGTCTGTAACTTGAGCTGTTGCCGAGACAAATGAGTCTGTAACTTGAGCTGTTTTCAAGATATAGACCATTTTGAAAGAGTCTGTTAAACAGACTCTGTTTTGGAATTATTTTTTTTCTGTAAATCAGTTATTCAATTTTTTAAATAAATTGCACCAATTGAAATTAGTATGTTTAATAGCGGTTATTTTGAAAGACAGTGAGAGGTCATTTTGGTACAATTATTTTTCAATCGCTTCCACATATTCAGGGTCAAGGTACAAGTGTGGAGTCAGACCACTTGATCACCCAACCCAATACATGATGAATTTCAGAATCAAGGAAATTTCAGCTTTGTGCAACAATGATTGTTATGGACAATGATAGACCCAGTTATTGACAATGATAGAACCAGTTATTGACAATTATAGACCCAATAATTGACAATTGTAGAACCAGAAGAGTAGAAAATGTATCCCCCATATTTATAGGCATAATAATTGTGTAGCAATAATATTTTCAGTTAGCTGATAGTAGTGATAGTGAAAGAACTTTGATCAGTCAGGAGGTAATTGGTAGTTGACTAGCTAACCGGATCTGGACAGTTTGTTTGACACATCATGCACTGGCCATGGGCGTGTCCTGTCTGTGTTTTTGTTACCCCTAAGTGATTGCCATGTTTCTTCTACAAATTGAAAACATGTATGGCGGTCGTTACCTTTTTTATTTAATTATTTCTGTAGTTTTGTCATCCGAGTTCAGCTTTAAATAAAAGTAAATTTCAATCTTGCAATGTCGTTAAGTTGCCATATGAGTGAGTTTAAAAGATAGACAAGTGGTTGCCATGCATGATACGCCCACATTTGGCAAGAGATGGACAGAGAACAAGCTCAGGGGCCATAATTGAGGTAGTGCGAATATCAAAAGGAACTGAGATTTGTGGGTTATAAACATACATTTCAAGTTTAAACCAAATTGGATACAAATCATGACCTCTACAGTGTTCACAAGCAAAGAACGTGATTTTTCGTACAATCAGGAGCCATAATCTAAGAAGTTACAGTCCGATATGCGTGAATATCTACAGGAATCTAGGTCTTCGGGATATAAAAATATTTTAAGTTTCATCAAAATCAGAAAAAAATTATGACCTCCAGAGGGTCCACGACCTTGGTACCATATACCTTGACACTATTTGCGTATAAGGATTGGCCATTTTGTCGGGCAGTTATGATCCTATTTTTACGAAATTCAAACTCAACCATCATTATGGTGTAACGGTGATATATTTAAACGGTTTTTAAAATCGGATAAAAATAGTGGCTTCTAGAAGGTATACAAGCTAACAAGGCGATTTTTCGTACAATCAGTGGTTTGATATATGCAAATAGCGAAAGTAACCAAGGTCTTTGGGACATAAACATATATTTTAAGTTTCATCAAAATCTTATAAAAATTGTGACAGATAACAATATGTGGGCAGATAACAATATGTGGGCATATAAAAATGTGGGCATATAAAAACGGACGAAACTACATGAGGTGATTCTGAATTGAGAACCGTTAAAATATATACGTCATTGGTTACAATCAACTAAATTAGGAAAAAAATTGCCGAGTTCTAGCAAAAATTTTAATAAATTCGTAACTACATATTTATAAAAGTCAAACGAATAAAGAAGTTTTTCGTCTCATTTGGAGGTGGTCGAACACAATCATAAGCCATGTCATGTATGCTAGTCATGAGTTTAATCCCATGGTGTTAAGTGACAAGGAGTAGGGTAAGCTATCTAACATCATGGGTTTTCTCCAGGTACCAAGGTTTTCTCCCGCTTCTAACAACCCCTGCACACAAGCAAATTAAGAGATAAATATGTGTTAGTCCCAAAATGACCTGGTTAAAGATGAGTGGACTTTTATGCCCAATACCACTCTCTACTATCAAGACTGACAAGTACATTAAAACAACAAAATATACTATTATATATGGTATATTACATCAACAAATATTTTAAAACTATAAAATATGCTATTATATACGGTATATTACATCAACAAATACTTTAAAACTATATAATATGCTATTATATACGGTATATTACATCAACAAATACTTTAAAACAACAAAATATGCTATTATATACGGTATATTACATCAACAGATACATTAAAACAACAAAATATGCTGTTATATATGGTATATTACACTGACAAATACTTTAAAACTATAAAATATGCTATTATGGTATATTACACTGACAAATACTTTAAAACTATAAAATATGTCTATATTAAAAAGATATGTATACATATTATGTCTTACAAATTATCTATGGTATATTACAAACATATATATACATGTCTTAATTACAAAAATAATGATTGAGAAGAAAATGATTTTTCTTCAGTATGAATTCTTTTATGATTACAAAGACTACTAATGTGTGTAAATGATTTATTACAAACATCACAAGAAAAGAGTTTTTCCAGTATGAGTTCTGGTGTGTTTATGTAGATGAGTGCTACAGGAAAATGATTTATTACAAACATCACAAGAAAAGGGTTTTTCCGGTATGAGTTCTGGTGTGTACATGTAGATGAGTGCTACGGGAAAAAGATTTATTACAAACATCACAAGAAAAGGGTTTTTCTCCGGTATGAATTCTGGTGTGTACATGTAGATGAGTGCTACGGGAAAAAGATTTATTACAAACATCACAAGAAAAGGGTTTTTCACCAGTATGAATTCTGGTGTGTACATGTAGATGAGTGCTACGGGAAAAAGATTTATTACAAACATCACAAGAAAAGGGTTTTTCACCAGTATGAATTCTAGTGTGTTTATGTAGATCACCACTCGTGGTAAAAGATTTATTACAAACATCACAAGAAAAGGGTTTTTCGCCAGTATGAATTCTGGTGTGTACATGTAGATGGGTGCTACGAGTAAAAGATTTACTACAAACATCACAAGAAAAGGGTTTTTCTCCGGTATGAACTCTGGTGTGTTGTTGTAGATTACTACTAGAGGTAAATGATTTCCTACAAACGTTACAAGAAAAGGGTTTGTCACCGGTATGAATTCTAGTGTGTCGATGTAGATTACTACTATTGTTAAATGATTTCCTACAAACATCACATGAAAATGGTTTGTCACCAGTGTGGGTTTTGGTATGATACTGTAGACCAATACTAGAGGTAAATGATTTACTACAAACATTACAACTAAAGGGTTTTTCACCGGTATGGGTTCTGGTGTGTCTCTGTAGATGACTACTTTGTGTAAATGATTTACTACAAACATCACATTTATATGGCTTCTCACCAGTATGAATCATAATGTGTCTACTTAAATCAGCCAGGCCTCTAAATGAGTTACCACAAATATCACAGTTATAGTTTTTATTGGAGACAGAATGTTTTGACATTTTCAGCTTTTCTCCTGAATCTTCTCTCTGAAAGAAAACCCATAAATAATTAAATTTACTGTTTAATTATTTTTATCAAAATTAACCATAAACCATTCTAGTTTTTGACTTGAAATGCTGTAGTTTTATTCCAAGTGAAAAAATGACAGGTCATGTTATTTTTACCTGGATCTAATTGTTAGAAGTAATGGAATTGCCATAATTTCACAGTTTAATTCAATTAATTTCAGAATTCAATTTATTTCAAACACTAACCATAAACACAGGTATATTTTTCAACCTCAGATAAAATATCAGGAACGACGAAATCGCCATTAAAAGGCAACAAACATTTTTTTTACCACACATAGAGCAGTTTGTGGCAATGTCTTTCTCACAAGAGGTTAACAAGATATCTCTTTATTTGGGTTGAGTGTTTTTTTACCACAGATGAAGCAGTATGTGGTTAACAAGGTATCATTTAAAATTGGATAAAAAGTGTGACCTCTGGAGGATCCACAAGCTAAAAATGTGATTTTTTTTTTGTACAATTAGGGGTCATTATCCAGGAAGTTGATTTTTGATTTGCAAGATCTTTGGGATATAAACATATAGTTTAAGTTTCATCACAATCAGATAACAATTGTGACCTCTAGGAGTGACCATTTTGTCAGGCAATTTTGTTCCGATTTTCACGAAATTTGAACTCTACCATCATCAGGGAGTAACGATGATATATTGAAACGGTTTTTAAAATCACACAAAAATTGTTACCTCTAGAGGGTCCACAAGCTAAAATTACAATTTTTTTCGTAAAATCATTGATCACAATCCAGAAAGATAAAGTCCAATATGCGCAAATATCTAAAGGAACCAAGATCTTTTGGAGATAAACACCTATTTAAAGTTTTGACAAAATCAGATGAAAATTGTGACCCGTAGAGGGTCCACAAGCAAATTCTGGAAGAACAGGAGCGACAACAATATAAGTCCAAATGAAAATGTGGGTGTATAAAAAGGGGATCTAATGCTTGAAATACAGAGTTTATTTTGAGGAAATTTATGATGTTAATAAAGTTATATTACCTTCAACAGTAAAAAATCCAGCTATAAAGTCACTTCAAATCTCTTGAGTTTTTAGCTTTAACAGTAAGAAATCCAGCTATAAAGTCTCTTGAAATCTATTAAGGATGAATGGAGAAGTCATAAAATCGTTCAAAAAATAGTCCAGTGAAAGGAACCATGGTGGATCTGTGAGCAAGGCATTAGCTCACTAACAATGTTGTCCAGTTATTGACTGAGAAAGTTTCTCAGGATTTTCCAGTGTGGTTTTGTGGTTTCAGTTGCGGTCTGTGACAAATTTCGCTAATGTTGCGTGTTAAAATATTTATAATATAAATCTCCTATGTTATTGCCTTAATTTTAATTGAACTTTGTTTTGATTGATACACATGGATCTGTCGAAGTTAAACCAACCCGAAACAACTCTTTGGTTTCTCCCAACATGTGACGAACGCTACTCTGTCTTCCAGTCAGTCGAAATTACAAGTACCGGTAAATAGTCAAAATACTCATGAGAGAACTTTTCTATTCGTTGTAATATTTAATTGTGCAATAGATTTTATTTAACGGGAGTTGATTTCAAACACAGTAGTTTGTTAAGTAGTCTGTTCATTTTAAATCAAAGAAATCCATTTAAAATTTACGATGGTTCAGACAGTAACTTACATAATTTTAAGATTCGATTTTAGCCAGAAAATATTAGTACTTTTATTTGGGTTAGTCCATATGTATGACATATGAATATGCCGCGAGAATTCTAGTGTTTATCAAATTTACATTTTAACATTAAATAATATATCGAGTGACCTGTAATAAACATCAATATTGGTACCTATTATGAATAATACCAGATCTTTGTGTCATCTGGAGAATATCTTCTCTAGGGTTTGGGTTCACCTATCAGCGTGCACCTATTATCCGCTTGAAATAGAATGCCGCCATTTTTGAAGGAAGTCAAAATATGACACGGACCGTCTCCAACCCGAGTAACTCATGTCAGTGAACAAGTGCGTGAAGGATAAATCAATTAAAATTCAAGGCGTTTTTATCTACTTGCCAATAATCGCTTTGAATTTAGTGAAGATGTCAGTATACTCGATTTCAAATCACTTTGGCTAGTTTGTTAAAAGTACCGACCACTTGAACAAATTGCACCTGAATAATCAGGCAAGCTAACCTGTTTCTTGTCAGTAAAATTGATACAATGAAGGGTGATTGTTTTAAATATTGGGGTGTTTAAGGTAGTTATTAGAACACTGGTGTAATTAACATGTTTATTTCAAGTGTTTATTTTTACATTAGTGAATTTAAGGTGGTTAATTCAAGATTGAATTTCAATTATTTACTATGAGTATGAAACACATCATTGATGTAATTAAAGTGGTTATCTTAAAAGTGGTAAAATTAATTTGGTGTAACCAAAGTGATTATTTTTAAATTGGAACAGTCGATTTGATAAAATGAAAGTGGTTATTTTGATGTTGTTATTATTGATCAAATTAAATTGGTCATTTTGAAATTGTTATAATTGATCAAATTAAAGTGGTTATTTTGAAATTGATATAATTAAAGTGGTTATTTTTAATTTGGTATAGTGATTGTGTAAGGAAAGAGTTTATGTTTCAAATTGGTATAATAAAATGGTTATTTCTAAATTGTTATAATTAATTTGGTGTAGTGAAAGTTTCTGTCTTTAAATTGGTGTAATTGGACCTGAGATGCATCTCTGTACATAAAGCAGCATGTATACTTTTAAGGGCCATCATTTTTGCAGTTATTCTTTGATTTTCTTTCTCCGGCATAATGTCAGTACACATGGTAAGCAAACTAAAAAAGGCCTTTTGGTGATACCTACTACTACTACTACCTTGGTGATTTAATGTCTGCTTTAACTGAATTGCTATTGCAGACATTTATGGTGATACCTGAAGTTTCTCCCCGACATAGGACACAGCACACCAAATATTCCAATGCCACGAAAGTTATTTAAGTCTTTCTCTCCCTTTCCTTTTCACCATTTCTGTCAGATTTTGGTTAATATTGTTAAACATGCAAGAGCTAAATGAAAAACCTCACAAGCCATCTTTCATAATTTTGTTTTTAGTAAAATTTCATTCTTAGTTGTGATTATATTTTACAGATAAAGTTGGTAAAATGTAATTTTGATGTGTTTATTATAATAGGAGTTTATTATAATACTGATATAACCAATAATGAGACCATATAAAATAAACATCTGAAATTAATAATATGAATGAATTAAAGTATAATATTCTCAAAATACACAAATTTAATACTAGTAGCTTCATTATTTTATATATAAAATATATCCTAATGACCATATTAATCAGACAGCGGTCTTCTGGACACCTATTCAAAAGGCTGGCTAGGTTGATAAATTACACTATCCTTTATTTTTCATTCATAACAAACTAATTCAACTCCTTTTGTACAGATTTTATTTTTCTTGTTAATATAATAAGACCATATTTATAGATAAATTTTACTGTCATTCGTGCTCAAATAAATCATATTAATATTTATTTTATAGAAATAACCCTCTAGTAGATACCAAAAACTTACAACACTTTGGATGTGTAAATAAATAATTTTCTTTATATTCTGAGGAATTTTCATCTGTTTATACAAATTTCTGTTGACCATAAATGATTTATCACAAACATCACATGAAAATAGTTTTCCTTTCATATGGGAGTAGATTATTTCATGTTGATCTTCAATAGCCCAGTCGGTGCAGAATAGTAGGACGGTTTTTGTACATTTATATAAACCATTACAAGTGGTAAAATATTTACAAGAACAGGGGTTTTCCCCAGTATGGAGTCTGGTGTCTTTATGTTAATCACTGCTAGTAGTAAAATATTAACTACAAACATCACAAGAAAGGGTTTTTTCCCCAGTATGGAGTCTGGTGTCTTTATGTTAATCACTGCTAGTAGTAAAATATTAACTACAAACATCACAAGAAAGGGTTTTTTCCCCAGTATGGAGTCTGGTGTCTTTATGTTAATCACTGCTAGTAGTAAAATATTTACTACAAACATCACAAGAAAGGGTTTTTTCCCCAGTATGGAGTCTGGTGTCTTTATGTTAATCACTGCTAGTAGTAAAATATTTACTACAAACATCACAAGAAAGATTTTTTTCTGCAGTATGGAATTTCATGTGTTGATACCACTACTTTGTGTAAATGATTTACAACAAACATTACATGAAAAGGGTTTTTCACCAGTATGAATTCTGGTGTGTCTCTGTTGATGACCACTAGTGGTAAATGATTTACCACAAACATCACATTTATAGTTATTTCTTGAGACATAATGCTTTGACATTTTCTGAATCTTCACACTGTAAATACACAAAACAAAATGGTAATTAGGAGATAAACATCGACTGTTTAGAATTTAGAGATCTGGTATTGTCCATTTGATACTGCTTTAAATCCTAGATGATGGTCGTTTCTTGATTTTTATTAGGGTTTCACACTGCGTAGCTATTCACAACCCATTCAGGTTTTTCATATTTTAAAAAATATTTCTTCGCAACTTTCATAAACTAGTAGCAATTATCCATACGAAGAGAATGTATGTGAAAATTAGTTTGTAATATGAGCAGTTGCCGAGAAATGGGCAATTTTGCATGAGTCACCCTTTACGCTAGTTTGCCTGTAAAAGAGTCAATTATTATTCGATTTTCATTTGATGCGTAATCTCAATTTTAACAAGGTCAAACCAATTTAACATTTCCAATGTCACCGGAAATAACGTCATTTGGACAAAAATTGTATTTATAGCCTTCAAAATCAGTATTTTATTCAAATGAGTCCTATTTGTTATTTGTTTAAAATTTTGATATTTGATCCCAATCAACCAATAGAATGAACCCATACGATCATATAGGTATCACAAAATGGTTTCTAACTTGTTCAGTTGCGGAGAAATAGACGATTTTCAACAGGTAACTTTTCAAGGTTTTGGGTCCATAAAAGTGTCAATTATTATTCGATTTTCATAAAATTTTCACCGTGTGATACCTAATGCCATTTACAATATTATACAAGTAATTTAACACTTAATTAACTTGTCAAGACCATAACCAACTTTCTATGACATCGGATACACTTGATTTTCAACAGATTTAAAGACGATTGGCAGTTACTGATTTAATTAAGAAATTGAAAATAGAGGCTTTGAATATCGTAACAACGAATATAACGAGAACTGCCAGCTCCTTGATCCAAATCTTACATACCGTACTGGCATCTTTAACTAATGATGATATTTTATTACCGAATTATTTACACACCGGAAAGCATTCATCTCAAATAATCCATACTAACCTGCGTCACAATAATAGCAACTTAAACATACTGCTAAAGTGTACATATTGTAATTGTATCATCTGGTATCTTTATTAATAAGAAGGCGATTAAATGTTAGCCCTTGGTTTGTTTTTAAAATCTATCGTATTTGAAGAGAGGCAAACCCCAAACAATTGCCAGAAAAGGTTTTTTGGTGGTTTCTGGTAGAGTTAGGTGTACTGAATCACACCCTAAAAGTTTACCAAAATCGAATACCTGAAACTGCCAAATTTTGAGGGTAAATGCCAATGTTTTTAAGATTATATTCATTTAAAAGTTAATACTGCAGAAGAGAGAGAGAGAGAGAGAGAGAGAGAGAAAGAGAGAGTTATCTCTCCCTCCATTAGTCAAACAAGAGTTATCTCCTCTATTCATTCTAAATGACTTTCATTTGGCATATGATTGTTTATTTCTTTCTAACCGAATGTTTGATTTAAAGGAGCTAAGTCGCTAATATTTGGGACCTAGAAATTGAAACAAATGGGTCGCAAAGCATACAATAATGTAATATGAATGTATATAAAATTGATTTACATTCAATCGTTTCTGTTTTTACTGTAATTTCTAATCAGTTAGGTTCGGCGACTTACGCCAGTATTCTCAATCGAATTTCAATCTCTAGCTTCTGGTTATTCCAGTCTACGCCGATAGTATTTATTGTGCATGCTCTCCAGATAAAAATATAGCGTCACCGTTTGACATGACTTGTGGAATGTGTAGGTATGTGGCAAAAAAAATGAAAGTCACTGGATTTTAATGAGACTGGTATCAGTAGATAGGTCTCTCCAAGACCTTTCCAATGACACCAAGATCACATTTCTGTGACAAATAGTAAAGGAGGTACACCATTTTTTGTGTCACCAATTAGCGCTAATTGGCGGCTTTGTCTTTCATAGGAAAATGGTAAGATTAACGACTTGGCGCCGTGACCGAAAAGTGGAATCCAGGAGAATGCACATAACTTTCTTATTTTTAACTCAAATTCAAAGTTAAAGGTATCAATGGAAAGCTTATTCACAGACGGAGGAGTATGTAATACTTTAAAACAAGAATAGTAATGTGTTCATGTTAAATTTTAATTAAAATGACAAGTCAAAAATCATACAATAATTGGTGAAAGGCATCGGCGTCGCACAACTTTTCTTGGTCAATGTCCTACTAGGATTTCATAAAACAACAGTTTCATTATCCGATCAAGTTATTTAAGCATCTATGCACCAATTTTAACACACATTAACTAATAATCCATATATAGTATTATTCAAACTCAGCGTCTATTCTACCTAACAAAAAATCAAGTCTTCACAAATGAGATCGGCAGCAAGTTCCAACTTGGGGATTTCAAAGTCCTCTGCATCCTCATAACTTCCTTCTGCTGACCAATAAGCTATTTTGTAACAATGAATGTTTTGTTTATTTCCATCTTTCTTTCTTTTTTTCATTTTTTCTACTCTACCACACCACTCAGTCTTTTGATCGGTGTCTTCGTCATACCAAGTGTGGCAGATGCTGCGGCCAACTATACTTCCTTCAAAAAGACCAACTAAGTCAACATGGGTCTCATCTGACACTTCAGGGAATACTCTTTTAAGAGCACTAACATCTAGATTTTTAAGTTTTTTTTCAATGTCTTTCCTCTCTTTAATATTCTTTTTCTGTCTATTGTGTGCCGCTCTCCTTGACAATTCCTTGTTAACATCATAAATTTTTTTCCTGTTCATTGATCTTTTCTTCCGCGCCTTGCCAATTGCCCATACACACTATCTAACCACCCCACAACATTGTTTTTTTTTGCACGCATCCTTGCCACCAAAAAGTCTACATTTGCATTTTTTGCCCTTTCTTTTCCCGCACTAAACATACCCATAATTTCTTCAGAGTCAATGTTGTGCAATCGTGCTGACTCAGTTTCTCTTCTCAACTGCTCAGTGATATCCATCCCAAAATAACGTTTGTATTGTCGTTCTAATACTTCTATGATGGCTTTCAAGCAGGCTGTTGCCATGATTCTGAACATGTCCTTGTTTACTGGTTCCCTCAATAAACTATGAAGTGTTTTGTCGTCTGGTTTGAATGCACCACCGAAAAAATCTACATTTCTTGTAATAATACTAACTGGGTCATCCAGTGTTTGCCGAAGGGTACAAAGCACATCTTTTACTATGTTGATACCTTCCATATGTGAAACTTCTGACTCAGCTGAAGCATAGAACTTGGTCATCCATGGCCCTGTCAGAAGCTTTCCAAGGATACCAACAACCTGCATTTCTGTGATGGCAGTTTCTAAACCAAAATCTTTTAGTAAACTGGGTACTAAACCACCACAAGAAACCGAACCACTTCCTAGGAAATTGAGTAGTAAATCATAATGTTCAAAGAATTTCCCACTGATATGGAAGAGGAATTGAAGTCTGTTTCCTCTGTACCTAGGCAGAAGACCCCTTGGTAAGTTGTTGTCGTCTAGGAATGTCTTGAACCCCTTAGGATCTCCTTTTGAATCTTTATATCTCAGTTTGTTCATTTGTACAACTAAGTTTCCAATTACACAGTCATTCCCAAATAACTCTCCTTTCTCACTCTCAACGGATTTTAAGGCAGACCTACATTTAGTTGCTATTGTATCTAGCGGATGTAAATGGCAATTGAGTTCATTGAGAGTTTTTCCCCATGAGGCATTAACCTGTCGAATGGTTGCCTGATTCACAGCAGCCCTGTCATTCATGGTATTGGCTATATTACTTATTATCGTTTCTCTACAATACTGGTACTCTTCCTCATGAAAGTCAGAATAAACGTCTGCAAGATAATCAATCGTGTTGGTGATGTGACCATGGTAATCATTAGCTGTCCCTCCAGGAAGCTCATCTACGGCAACAAGGTCACAGTCACTTTTTGTAGTCAGGTGAATGCTGTTCACGTGAACTCCTTCTTGGGTGGTAGCATCAAAGCCCAAAGTAAGGTTTTTTGATTTCATGGCTAATTCTGCACTTTTCAAATCTGCAATAGTGTCAAGTTCCCTGGCCATCTGCTCCACTGTGGTCCTATGAGGCACAGATGTGAGGACGTCTCCATTTCGTTTCGCCTGCCCGGCTATGATGCCTGGAACATTATTTGTTGGCACTTGACCCACAATTGTATCATAGACCATCATGCGTGTCTTGACACTGTATGTTTTTCCATCCTTTTTAGTTTCTTTCTCCTGGCTTTTTTCATTCTTTAATTCCTCAACCCTTTCTTGCCATTGAATAACTTCATTTTCATATCCCCTTGTCAACTCCTTTTGTTCAGATAGTTCCTTCTTTACCCTCATGAACTCCTCTTTTGAAACTGTTTCAGATTTTTTTTCCTTCAGCTTTTCCTTATTCGAATTCAACAAACGTTTATGAGTCCTTTGAAGATGTCTAAGCTCTGCCTCCACACTCATATCAGGCCCTTTTTTCAATCTCAGGAGTTCTTCCTTGAGCTGAGCAATCGTTTTATCTTTTTCCAGCATAGAGTTCTTTCTCCGTTGTTTACACTGATTTATCTTTTTCTTGTCATGATAGTCACTATATTTCAGCTTCTCTTTCAAGCTCCTCAAACAAGTCAAGTATTTCTTTTTTTCAGTATTTCTCATATTGGACAAACACGTAAGCCGCTTCCTCATCTCAAGTTTTCTTGGGGTGAGCATGTGCCTTGGGGTCCGGGGTGAATCTGTGTTCTTCACTGGTGTGTGGGGCGGCTGCTGCTGCGAGGGGCCTGGAACAGGTGACGTACATGTATCCATGGCTTCATTTGATTGAACTGGAGGTGGTGATGAATCTAACGTAAAAGGCTCAGTACAAAATAGCGCAAACGATTCAAACTCAGACTCCCGACTTAAATGTTTGTACCTGCCATAACGATTGACAACAGTTTTTACAGCACTAATGTTCAGTGAGATATGATCAGGTGCAAAGCGTTTAATGGCTGTGACAGTCTTTGTCTCAGATTTCCCATGTTGGAAGTACAGTGTCAAAATATGCCCAACTTTGAAATTGTTCTCTGGCATCTCTCCGTAGAGATTCATCAGATGTTGACGGCCTGGACCCGGCTTTGCTGGAGGCGGTGCAGTCCTAGTCTTTTTCTTCATTGTGGAATGTAAACTGAAAAATAAGAATAAAAGTCTGTAAGTTATAAGCGAAATAAGTCATACTATAAGAGTATAAGTAAGAATTTGCAGAGGAATTTAAAACAAAATTGAACATATCCCTGTCCAAACAACAATCTAAGTAATGCCTCTATGACTTTTTCAAATAAATCATCAAAAACATATCAAAATTAAGTCATGAAATGCAAAAAAAAACAAACTCAGCACATTATTTTGTTTATCAACACAACGGATCAGCCAATCCAAAGCAAGAATGGAGGTCACGTGACCCAAACGGCCCTAGTTTTACACAAATTGCTGGATTTTATACCATTCTAAATCATCAATCATCGGCGTTATTAAGGCATAAAAATACCAGACACTGTATTTAATTATATCTTTACATACAAATGATTATATAAAAAACACAATTGATGTTGTTTATGGCCGTTTTAGTGATTTATTTTTGATCGAAAAAGATGGAAAACACATTCAAATTTGGTCCCGATTTCTAACCCCGACCTTGACACCTTTCGCGGCGGATTCAAAAAAGTGGGTTGGTAATCCATGAATTTCGCTCAAAATCAACACAGATGTTGTCAATATAATAAAGAATAATACATCAGAAGATCAAGTCAAACATTGCTCACCTTTAGACGTTAAATAGGCTGTTTTGTGAAGTAAACGGAACTCGAAAACTGCAAGTTGAAATGTAAAAATATTCGATGCGGACAATGGAAAAATTTTGGCAACATGGCGGTAAATAAACATGTGTACTACGTAATTAGTCTCTGAGCTCGACTTAAGTTATTGTGTAACACGTAGAAAAAAGAGAATTAGTACGGGGGAGGTATCGAGGGAATTCCCTAAAGCAGAAAAACGAAAACGAGGCTCGAGCCGAAGCGGCTCTGGAGATTATCTGGTGTTTGCCACATACCTAGAATGTGCCTAGCCTCGTTTTTCGAGTCCCTTATTACACATAGAGCTGAAACGCATTATGGTACACGATTCGTGTACCAATGGTAAAATGTTTATTTTGTCTTAAATATTGGATATCAGAAGACCATCTTTTCCCGGTAACATCACAACATCAATGTTGATTTAAACCGACAAATAATTCGTGCTTTCAATGTCGAAGATTTTGGATGATATTGAGTTAGAGACTTAGCTACTTTAAGATTTGGTATGCCAGGAAGAGAGTATGTTTTGAATCTAGGAAGTTTTATCTGTCAGCCATCCCTTTAACAGGTTAGTGCATCTTAATCATCTATATAGAAGTTAATTACCTGTACGATATATTGATCTAATAAAATATCTCTTGACCGCGCGATGCGATCAGATGGGCGCCATTTTTTTAGCAATGGATGAGGTAAAAATGTGACGTGGATTTCTCCAACCCGAGTAACTCATAATCGCCACTGCACCATATCAACCCCCAACTTCAGTCCTTTCCTTGTTGTATTGAAATTGTAATATTATATATAATAGTTTTGATATAATTTATAATAATATTGTATTCAAATTGTAATATCAAATAATAGTTTTGATATAAATCATATGAGTTTAACTCCAGCTAAATTTCAATCTGAACATTGTACCAATGGGAGTTGGTTTTCTGAATGCAGACTGATCCACAGTAAATATTCGCTTGGCTGCTTTTATGACGGATAAGGATGAAATCTGGGTGACTTAATGAGGCCTCGATATGGCACAATTAGTAATGTGCAATAACAAATTCTATATTTTGGCTTCAAATGTTATTCAGACATTTGTTTATATGCCTAGCCAATGATCAACTCTAGACTATCGGGTGGTCGAGATTTAAATGGATTGAAACACAAAGGCGAATCAAGGCTCAGTACCATTGCTACGATAATAAATGACCTATACTACATCTTTGCAAAACTTCCAACACATATTACTTGCTCAGAATAAAGTAATTTGAAAGATATTTTTGAACTATTATAGCAAGAACAGCCAGCTCTTTATCTAAATCTTACATAATGCATCTTTTAACTTTTTCTTTAACACAAATCAATACGCCCACTTTGAAATGTGATTGTATATTGTCCTCACGTCGAGTGGTCACAATTGGTTTGAGGACGCCTACTGTATATATTTGCAACCTTCACAATAGCTTCAGGACACCCGGGAGGCTAATGTGATTGTCCGATTAACTTTAAATTAATACCCAGTGTTTATGTTGATTGGGGCGGGGGAGTGAATGGCAGAATGGTTAACGTGTGCACGCTGTATCATAAGGTCTGTTTTTTAAGTCAACTGGCATGTTTTCGATTCCCCGGTTGTACTTGACAAGGAGTAGGGTCGTCTGTCCAATCTTATGGGTTTTCTCAGGGTCCTCTCCGGTTTCCTCACAATGCTAAAGACCCCTACGCGCAAGCAAATTACTGAAATAAATTGAAATATATGTTAGTTCCGAAATGACCTAGTTTGTGTCAAGTGGAGGTTAACCCCATTTCTCTCTCCCGTCGATGAGAAGAAGGCATGTCCTATATGCAATATATAAGTATAAGTTGTGACAGGGATATGGGGGTCTCTGATCTCTCCCACGTCTAGCTGTGACACTACAGTATTGCTTATTAGATGAATTATGAAATACTTCCACGTTGTGTATATGTATATGGCCCGTGACACTAGGGTGGCACTTATCTAGTCAGGACGTTCACGTTGTGCATATGATCAATTAACTCTGGAACATTTTTTACGTTAACTATGTTTTTACATCTTTATAACATCCATAATACAAAGGTTATATACAGGAAACTACACACACAGCTATGACATTAAATATAAGCTAGATATAAGTTCTCTGTCCCCTAGTTTGTGAGTTACGGCGGTATTTCCAAGCCTCTCAGCCGAGGATGAAATAAAAATGGTTTAACAATAATAACATATGACTGACTAGTTGATGAATTAACAAATACATTATTCAAGGGCTAAATCTACCTATTACAGGTCTTTCTTTAGGCCTGAAATATTATCTAAATTATTAATTAATTTCTCAAGACCGTAAACAACTATCGATGCCATCGCTAGCCCACAATATTTAGCGGATTGGAATACCTCTTTTGAAAAAAAATTAAACGTAAAGGTGGATAATTAAGAATCGCACAGACTTTAATAGTGATGATCGAGGCTAGTCTAAAATTCAAAAGCTAATACCTCGGTACAGAGTGGAGCAATTTGACTGAAATGTTTAGAATTTTTTATCTTGACATCAGAAGGCACAAGAAAAAGGTTTTTCACCCGTATGGGTTCTGGTGTGTACATGTAGATTACTACTAGTGATAAATGATTGTCTACAAACATCACAAGAAAAGGAAATGAAATGAAATGGGGTTTAACGTCCTACTGTTCTGCTCCTATACTGGGCTAATGAAGACGGGCATACGCCATACAGTGTGCAATGAGGGAAATTTATGCCCGGGCAGCGTCACTATCGCCTACTCTTATATCGAATTCCAACTGCCAGGGGATCTTTTAAGTGCATTCCAATATATACACGGGACCTCGGTTTTTCGTCCCATCCGAACAACTAGACAGCTGGCCTTGTTGGCTTGTCAGGCCTTCCATCCTGCATCACTGACAAGGGGGAAACCACGCCGGAAAATCTGGATGAATTTTCTCGGCCAATGCAGGGATCGAACACCCGATCTCCAGGCTAGCGAGCCAGCGTCTTACCCACTTAGCCACGTGATTCCCCCACAAGAAAAAGGATTTTATGGGTTCTGGTGTGTACAGGTAGATAGATATATTCTTGTGGTAAATGATTTACTACAAACATCACAAGAAAAGTGTTTTTCCCCATTATGGGTTCTGGTATGTGCGTAAAGGATATTAACCTACCCGAGGTTGATATGGTAGAGAACGCTTGGGCTTCGCCCGCGCGTTCTCTACCATATCAATCCGAGGGAGAGTAGGTTTGTATCCGACATATACAACGCCATTTCACCCTTAAATTTAATAGGCCCTTCCATTAAAAGGCAACAACGATTGGAAAATTGCTCGATAGTTTCCGCCAAATAGCGAAAAATACCGAAGTAATCACGTGCATGTTTTTGTTTATACGTCGCCATTTTGGACTATTGAATTGAAAGCAAAAACAAAATGGATAGTAATACGAAGTCAGGCGAATAATCAACCCTTTTTAGCCAACATATTGACGATGGAATAGATGTGAAGGCAAATATCGACGAGGATCTATCCAAAGCCTGCAGAAAATTTGGACCAAAAGGCATTCTTTTCCAAGAATTCTGACAGTGAACCATGATTGAAGGTTTTCGGTATGTTCAGAGAAGGATTTGACCGACTATTTTAAGTGGACTGTACCCAAAAATACTTTACAAAGGAACTCTTGGGGCGATAAATACTTTCAAGTCGTGTAGTGTGTGGAGAAATAATCGCAATGTGGACGAAAAGAAAATTCTGAAAGATGTCTTAGACATGGATAACCGATCTGATTTATCAAAAACATCACATTTATATAGTTTCTCTTGAGTTTTGGTGTGTATCATAATATGAGTTCTGGTGTGTATCATAATATGAGTTCTGGTGTGTATCATAATATGAGTTCTGGTGTGTATCATAATATGAGTTTTGGTGTGTATCATAATATGAGTTCTGGTGTGTATCATAATATGAGTTCTGGTGTGTATCATAATATGAGTTTTGGTGTGTATCATAATATGAGTTCTGGTGTGTATCATAATATGAGTTCTGGTGTGTCGATGCAGAAAATGATTTACTACAAACATTACAAGAAATAGGTTTTCCTTCAGTATGCTTCTGGTGTGTTTCTTTAGACCACCACCACTAGTGGTAAAAGACTTTTTACAAACATCACAAGAAAAAGTGATTTTTCTAGTGTGAGTTCTGGTAGTGTATATCTTTCTGTAAACGATTTTGTACAAACATCACAAGAAAAGGGTTTTTCCCCTGTATGAATCATAATGTGTCTACTTAAACCAGTAGAGGTTCTTAGTGATTTACCACAAATATCACATTTATAGTTTTTATTGTAAACAGAATGCTTTGACATTGTCAGCTTTTCTCCTGATCTTCTCTCTGTAAAAAAATAATTTAATTAACTTCACAGTTTAATTTAATTCAAACAGGTATATTTTTCAACCTCTGATAAAATATTAGTAACAACTCTATAGCCATTAAAGGGCTACAGACCACTGACGTGAATTCTTACCTCATACATTTCCCCAAATTTTATTTGAGTTGAATGTTTTTTACTATAGATCAGTGCAAGGGAAAATGTTGTTGAATGTGTTGATGACAGTGTGTGTAAGCTATGCAGCGGTGCAGAACCACCACTGGCTGATTCTGATAAAGATGTGGAATGGGTGAGTCGCTAATCAAATAATTAAAACAAAATATTTCAAAAGGTAAAGTTATAAACTTTGCAGAGATTTTACTAGAATGTAAAAGACGGTAACAAAATGAAAGAATACGGATAGTTAAGTGTGTGAATGCCGAGCCGAGACTTATAGCTTATTCATAAACCAAACTTGAATTGTTGTTAATAACCAAAGTTAAGTAGTTTGTTCATAATCGATGAAATCCGTTTAAAATTTAGGATGGTTCAGACACTAATTACCATATTAAATAGATAACGGTCATCTGAACACCTCTTCATATAGCGGACTAGTTGAGGTTGATAAAATTACATTATCCTTTATTTCTTCATTCATAACAAACTAATTAAACTCCTTTTCTACAGATTTTATTTTTAGTGTATAAATGATTTGCTATAAAAATATTACAAACATCCCAAGCGAAAGATTTTTCTACAAGCATCACAGAATAAAGATTTTACTCCAATATGTGTTCTGGTGTGTACAGGTAGATTATAATTCACTACAAATATCACAGGAAAAGGGGTTTTGTCAAGTATGTGTCTTCATGTGTTGCAGTAGATTTCTAGTTCGTGTAAATGATTTACTACAAACATCACAAGAAAAACGTTTTTCACGAGTATGAGTTCTGTTATGTCGATGTAGCTCACTATTGACGGCAAATGATTTATTACAAACATTACAAGAAAAAGGTTTGTCACCGGTATGGGTTCTGGTGTGTTGTGTCAGATTACTACTAGTGGTAAATGATTTCCTACAAACATCACACGAAAAGGGTTTTTCCCCAGTATGAATTCTAGTGTGTCGTTGCAGACAACTACTAGCGGCAAATGATTTTTTACAAATAACACAAGAAAAGGGTTTTTCTCCGGTATGAATTCTCATATGTAGTGTTCGATTACTGGTAGTGCTAAATGATTTATTACAAACATCACAAGAAAAGGGTTTGTCACCAGAGTGGGTTCTGATGTGTACACGTAGACCATTTTTTTGTGTAAATGATTTTCTACAAACATCACAAGAAAAGGGTTTTTCACCAGTATGAATCATAATGTGTCTACTTAAACGATAACTGTCTTTAAATGAATTACCACAAACATCACATTTATAGTTCTTTTTTGAGACACAATGAACTGACATTTTCTGAATCTTCTCTCTGTAAATAAACAAAATGTTGGTAGGTGAAAGCAGCTCTATAATATGAAATCTAACACCCAACAGATGCAAGGTTAAAATAAAATAGGAGATAGGTAAAGATTTGTATAGTTTTCAACATTTATTAACTGATAATCTAAATAATACTTTATTTATTAATAATACAACGAACAAATAAATTCTGAAAAGATGAGAACAAACAAACCTTAAACGTTAGAAACGTGTCAAAAGATATCAACTTTCGGGAAGTTACGAAATCAATACATTTAGATGTTTAAGTGAATTCTGGTGTTTAGTCTAAACGTAAATTACAGTTATGCTTCTTCGTATTTAATTGAACATTAAATAACAGATATTAATCATCTACAATGCAGACATATACCGGTACGATATGAAATTCATAAATACGTCTTGTCTGCTGTGTTCAGATATCCGCCATTTTATAAGCATTAGGAAAGTAAAAAAAATATGACGTGGACCATCTCCTACCCGAGTAACTCATATCTGAAGATTACGGACCATTATTGTTTGTGTGAGTGTACATTATATTCTATAATTTAAATTATAAATATAAATGTTAAACAGAATCTGTAATGTATTTGATAAGATTGATGCTGAAAAGAAATTCTAAATCATAATCATTACTGAAGCTTATCAAACCCCAACATATAAAATCATCTACTACTAATATAAAATCTGCCTATTGCAGGTCTTTCTTTAGGCCTTAAATGTTATATCTTTCATTAACTAGACATTTATTAACTTGCCAATAACCAACTCTTTATGACATCAGACACTCTTGATTTTCAACAGATTTAAACATGATTGGCAGTTAATGATTTAATTAAGAATGGTAAAATCAATAAATTGTTTACTATTGTAACAATGATAGCCATGTCAATCGAGATTCGTCTATTTTCCAAACAGCAAATTGTCGCTCAGAATGAAGTAAGTTGACTGAAATTTTAAAGATATTCCCTTTTCATTATCTATTTTTCAACTATTATAACGAGAACTGACAGCTCTTGATCCAAATCTTACATGCTGGCATCAGTAATTAATAATGATGATATATTACCAAAACCAGGCAAAGCATATATCTCAAATAATCCATACTAAACTGTGTCACAATAATAGCAACTTAAACTATCATAAATTCTTCGTGCACTTAAAGGACAACCCTATCTGTTCTTGTGGTCACTATATAGAGGATGCAGAATACTATTTGTTGCACAGACCAAATTTTACCAATGTTACATTTCAAACAATAAATAAATGATCAAATAGCCCATTAGCCCATTTATATTAAAGATACATTATGGGAGATTTTTATAGAGAATTGGCCATTCTTGCTATAACAGTTCAAAAGTAGATGATGAAAGAAGAATATATTGAAAATTTCAGTCAAATTACTTTATTCTGAACATAGTTATCATCGTTGTAATATTTGACTAGAAATGGTAGTGAAATGTGCTTTCACCTTGGCCGATGGTTTGATTGACAGGCGTTAACTCCACCTACATATCTCGATTATCAAGTAAAGTTTTCAATGGCATGCGGAAACGCTCTACAGCGGCCTCGCTAAGTACACTCTATCATTTAGCCTCGATCAAACTTACGCATTCTCATCAGGATGCGCCATATTTGAATTAATTAATAAGTGAAATCCTATTTAAATCCGAGCTGTAGCCGAGCCATTCGTGGGTCTACAGAGTTGATTTTGGGCTTGTTGTTTAAATAAAGATCTAATTTATAATTTCTATAACATCTGAAGCCTAAATTAAGACTTGCAATAATCAGATTTTGCTCTTGCATAATGTATGTTTAATTTACAAAACCCCTATCAACGATGATAGAAATGGTACAATACAAATAGATATGCACACATTTAATACATTTATCTAAAAGACTCCAATAACCATTTTAAAATACTAGGAGCAACTTTTTTTCTTTCTTTTTTTTTAAAGCTTTGTTTTTCCAGAGATCATTATTGCATGGTTTTTAGGTCATACTTTTTTATTCCTACTAAAACCAAGGAATTGACTAGGAGACATGGTTTCTAAACACTGCTGTGGAATTAAACTGGTCATTTTTAAACTGGAATAGATGAACTGTTTTTTTATTAAAATGAAATAAATAAACTTTTTTTGTTAAAATGAAATAAATAAACTGGTTATTTTTAAATTGGAATAACGAATATGGTTATTTTTGGTACAGCTAAAGTGGTCATTCAGACACTAGAATAAAGCCTTTCAGAACGTCCTTCGTCCTGAAATACCCATGTGTCTGGCCAAATAATCATTCTCCTTGTTACCTAGAAGCTTGGGATCGACACATTGCCATATAAAACATAACACTACTCGACTATCAAACCCCAGTAATAACAGACCTTATGATATAAAACATTACACTACTCGACTATCAAAACCCAGTCATAAATCTATAAATATAAATAACCTGTCATCGCTAAATAGAAGATCTAGTTATGACTAGAAGTTCTTCTTGGTCAGGCCTTTCATCCTACAACCTTATCAGGCGTTCCATCCTACAACCTTGTCAGAGGGAAACCATGCTGCAAAATACTGAGGAACCATCTTGTCCAAGGTGTACCCACATTTTACAAGACATGACAGACAACAAGCTACAAAAAGGGTGATTTTTCTTAAAATCAGGGACCACAATCCAGGATGTTGCGATCCGCTATGCGTCAATATCGAACGGAACTGAGATCTTTGGGATATAAGATACATATTTTAAGATAGGGTTAGGGTTAACAATATAGACCTCTAGCTAGAGGATGACAACACACGTCCATTTGAAAATCTGAGTATGTAAAAACTGATAAAGCAATGGGATGATGGGTTTAATGTTATTTGTAGGTCTACTCGTTTCAAATAGCTGACTAGGTTGATCAATTACAATATCCTTTATTTTTCATTAATAACAAACTAATTAAACTCTATTTATACAGATTTTATTTTTCTTGTTCAATTGAAGAACCATATTTGAAGATAAATTTAATTGTTATTGGTGCTAAAATAATTTATATTTATATTTATTTTATGGAAATAACCCTAGACAACAAAACCTTACAATACTTTGAATGTGTAAATAAATAATTTTCTTAATATTCTGATAAATAAATATTTATGTTGGCTGTAAATGATTTATCACAAACATCACAAGAAAATAGTTTTCCTTACATATGGGTTATAGTATCTTATTTCATGTTGATCATCATTAGTCCAGTCGGGGGAGAATATTAACACCATTTCATGGTGGTAAATGGTTTACTACAAACACTAAAAGATGTAAAATATTTTTCACCAGTATCTTATTCTCTAGTATGAATTCTTTTATGTTTATTTAGATTACTTCCATTATTTAAAAGATTTACTACAAACATCACAAGTAAAAGGTTTTTGTGTCCTGCGTGTGTTTTCGTGTGTCGATGTTTTCAAGGTTTCAGCGTAAAGACATTTGGAGTAGGAGCGTTTTGAAATTAGGGTTAAACATTGGTCGAAATATGGCAAATTTGGCCCAAAACAACAATTTCCCGTTATACCGGAAGTTATCATTTCAAATTTTTTTTCACTGCATCGTGTGACTTCTATCGCCTAGGGGTCCTCATATTTATGATTGAAATTTGCTGACCCTCAGGTTTATCTTATTTTGTTTCAATCGGTGCATGGTCCTCTCATGGGCTCGTTCTTAATAAGAAAAAAAAAGATACACGAAGCGAAAACAAACTTAGATTATGACAAGTGATGATGATATTAATTGCTTTGATTTTCGAGACAATTATTTCAATTTAAAGTATAAATTGACGTCCAACAATATATGACTAAAACTGCGGATTATTTTCCCCGTTTTCGAGCGTACCTTGGTCGTTTTCAATGTTATAAGGACCGCTTACACGGCTACAAAATTCTTCCAAATATGGCTACTCTTGTAAGGTACATGCGCGGCATAAATACTGTGTAAATGTGAATGAAGGAACTCACATGGCAGTTGAATGGAAATCAAACATATCCGACTGCCACCCGGCTGTTGAGATTTTTAGAAGAGGTCCCTGGTAATATTGCAAAAGATTTCGATTTGGTTAAGCCAAATCATATCAAATGTCCTCGTAAAAGGTATTTGCTCACACACTCCGACACACACAAGCGCAGAAACACACTCTGCGTTTCACATGCATACACACGCACACCCAGTCACATACACCCACGCACACCCAGTCACATACACCCACGCACACCCAGTCACATACACCCAGTCACATACATCCATTTCAATTATGTGCGCTTTAAAACATAAGCTCTGTCATTTAGTCAAGCAGCGTTGTTTCAATCACAGACTTGTACGTGACAAGGGGTAAGGTTATCTGCTTAACCTCGTGGGTTTTCTTCGGGTCTTCCGCATTCCTCCCCCTGCTAAAGCCACTAGCACAATCAAATTCTTGAAGTAAAATTGTACAATGTGTAAGTCCTGAAATGACTTGGCTTGTGTTGAGTAGACGTTAAAACCCATTTATCTCTCATCGAATACATTGGGACAATCCGTGCTGTTGAATTGTGGATCAGTACCTTAAAAAATAAAACTTCTTTGTTCAAGAAAACTTTATTGAGATCGCAGAAACTGCGAGGAATTTTACAAAACATGTTAAACAACCGCTCTTTTTTGTTTATAATAATTCTAGTGTGGAATATGCGTAGCTGTCAATTAGCTGGATGGGTATTTGCATTTGCTTGTGGGTAACTGGATAAGTATTAGCGTTCCGTGGGGGTGGGGTGGGGCTAATTGGTTGATGTTGCACAGGCCCCCTCCTAAATTGCCCCCACACAAAAAGAATAAATTTAGTGTTCTGGAGTTAAAGGTCTTTATAGATTTCTTGATTTTTTGCATGCTTCCGATGTACGATTCATCCAGTTGTTCAGTTATCTGAAAATATAAAGATACATGGGTGGTGAACTATGTAAGTATACCCTCCACGGGTCGACAATTAAAGGAGCATGTAATTTAATGCTGACGTCCAAGAGGTAGTTAAAATGGCAGCCAACTTTTCAATTAATTTCTAACAAGGACACAACACGTGCATCTGAATTGAGGATCAGTTTTCATTTTAATATCTAACACGAGCACAAAAAGAACTGAATAGTCGGAACAGTTTTGAATTTAATTTCTACGAAACGAAATGACATGAAATGAGCTATTGAAAAAGGCCAACGCCATGCAGTGTGCCATGAGGGACGTTTTGCACTGGCAGTAGCGCTACGTCCTACTCTTGTATCAAATTAGGATTGCCAAGGGTACTTTTACGCCCACGTAAATGTATACCCGGAATCTCGTTTATTGGATCAGTTCCGAACTCAAGCGGTAAAGTTACAGTGGAAGTCAGTTATGTATGTTATAGGTGACAAGCAGGCAATAGACATACATTGAATAAATGAAATGGGGTCTAACACCCTTCTGTTCTGTTATGACAGGGCTAATGCTAAGAGGACATTTGTGCGGGGACAGCAGCGCTGCAGACGTTTCTTATGTCAAATTCCAGCTGTCAAGGAATCTTTTACGTGCACGCCAATCTGTACACTGGACCTCTGTGTTTCTTCCCACCTGAAAACTATAGGCTGTCCCCTGCCAGGCCGGAGAAGCACGATGAACTTTCTCGGTCAACACAGGGATCGAACGTCCTACTTACTTTGCCAACTTATACCTCAACACAGCATGTTGTCTCACTGTTGGTGCATACACCACCCACGTCCACTTCATTACCTCGACACTCTACACGACAAGTACCGTCATAAGCATCACAGGCTGAAAAAATTTCAAGAATATATTTCATTAGGTTGACAGTTTACACGACAGTTACCGTCAAAACCATCACATTGTTCGTCAGATCCACATTTTACACGACAAACACCTACCATCAAAAAATATCCAGATCTTTTTAATTGAAAGGAAAGGGTTGGAATATTTTAAGAAGATTTCATCCAAATAAATTAGTTAGAAAGATAAGAAATCTTCCTCTAACTCCTGATTTGTCGTACTAGCCCATCGCGTGGACATGATGTTCTAATGAACCCCGTAAAAAAGTAACCTCTGCGCCACCCAGGTTGATGACGAATAGCATACGCCATGCAATGTGATATGAGGGCAATCGTGCTTCGCCGGTGGCGTTTCCGTCTAGTCTTCGTTGCCTTTATGTTATTTACAGGAGAGCCCGTTCTCGTGTTTTCACATCACTGACCAGGGTGCGCAATGCAGGAAAATCCTGAGACACGTTCTCGGGTCAATAACCCCAGATTTCCTGGTAGTGAACCGATGAGTCCCCGTGCTCCTTCAGATTAGTAAATTAGTAAAACTCTTATCGCGGTCTCCCGGGACAAGTGAGCCCCGTTCGAACAGGGAATCGAAAAGAGGAAACCGAAGTTAATGTTATAATGTTAAGTGTATAAGACGTACCGGAAGTAGATTAATTAATTTCGAAGTTTGCAAAAATGTAATTACATACAACGGAATGAAATGTACACTTACCTGGGTTTTGTTCTACAACGGAATCGGTTGTTGCAGATGTTGTTGCTTCTGTAGGAGCTGCTGTAGGACCTGCTGTAACTCCTATAGGAGCTTCAGTGACTTCTATAACAGATTCTTCATTTACTGGGAATATATTTAATGTACAATATGTTATAATGTCTCCATGGTGATATTAAAGTATCCGCAAATTTTAACAGCTAAAAACACAAAAATATATTTATCAATTTACCCACGGAGTTGTAGCACGATGTCGAGGGGAGATTGGGTTTAATGTCCTAGTTTTCTACCTCAAACCGGGATAATATGGACATGCTGTGCTATAAGGAAATATTTTGGCCGGGATTACCCCTAGTCTTTATCGAATTTCAACTGCCAAATTCCAAATGCCCTGCTCCACTGACAAGGGGGAAGCAAGACTGAAAGCACACATGAAACACTAGGATCGAACCCCGAACCTCTTGGTTACTGAACCAGCCCTTTACACACCGAAGTACCATTGGTGGTTCTATGGAGCGAACACCCCGTTAATGGGCTTTCGGTGCATCTTGAAAAGTTTCACGAGGAAACAATTATTTATCATCCTATAGTCAATCAGCCCAATAAAATGCTTGGGGAAGGGGGGGGGGGGGGTCTCAATAATTTAGGCGCTGAGGTGGGTCCAAACATTATTTAAACTCTGTTTCCTATCGACATATCACATTTCATGCCTCTGGCTCCCCTTGGAACCCTTCATAATAAGCCAACTTATTGGCCCTTGCTGAAGAATAAACCCAAATGAATTTTGATGCCTTAAAATTTGAATTAAATAAAAAAAAAAGGACGTTGTGATATTCCATAGTCGTTTCAGCAATCAAATAAAACATAGAATATGTAATAAGTTTACCAATAAAATAAATTGTAACATCTTAACTTACTACTTTCAGATTCTTCCACTTTGTTTTTTTTGCAATCGTGTTGTCGCGATCCGGAAGAGACACCTGTAGGTTTGCCCGCTTCTGACTGCAAGACCAAGGCAAGAACAACAAATACAGCAAGGGCTACTGAGAGATTCATGATAAATTGCCTTCGTGTACTATGATCAAACTCGAACACAAGATATGTATGATAATGATCCATAATACAAGCTAGTATTTATACAGAAACTATGCTCAAAGTGGGCGATTTAATTAAATTCTTAATTGGTATACCAATTCTTTGAAATGTGGCTGAACTCCATTTGTAGATAGATATTAACTACCGTTATTGAGATATTACCAATAACAGTGCCATTATTTATTTGAAATGTTGTATATTAATTATATATCTAACTGATTATTATAGAAATAAGAAAATCAATAAAGACATTTATCAAAGTAAACAAACTAATTAAGACTTTATCATTAAATATATTGGGTATTAATGGAGAACATGTGTTTAGTATATTACATATATACATGTATTTAGTTGAGTTCATCTCCATATTATCAAGGGCTAAACTGTCATATTACAGCTATATAATATAGTCATCCTTAAGAAATCATAATAATAAGTGCAGTGGACAAACATCGGCTTTGCTCAGTTGTTTTTCAAATGACACTTTAATCTTCGTCTAGGTTGGGGTATTGGAAGGGGGGGGGGGTCTCATAAGCGCAATTGCCTAGGTACTCTCGTCATTTAAATTCGACACTGCTAAAAATATGCTGGTAGGAGACGCTCCAATCTCTGGAACAAAAACGAAATAAATGATTATTGTTTTTTTGTAAGGAGGTAAGTACATAGTCCTGCAAGATTACAAGAAAAAAAATCCACCTCAAACTACCTTGGGCAAGTATTTTTTTTATGGACGATTTAGTTTGGTATCCACCTTAATATGAATGATGCTTGTAAAACCGCCATTTAAAGGGGCATTATGGAAGATTAGATAAAGAGCTGACAGTTCCCACTATAATAGTTAAAAACTAGATAATGTAAAGGGAATTTGCAGAAAATGTCAGTCAAATTGATTCACTCTGAACCGAGATATTAACTTTTGAATTTTAGGCCTAGCCTCGATCATCATTACTAAAGTCGTTACGATAAACAAAACATAGTCCCGGTTATCCATTGTTTGGATTTAACCATCACTGAGCGTTGAGCAGCAGATCGGATTCAAATCCAGTAAATATCGCAGGATAGCGATGACATCGAGAGTTGATTATAGTCTGGATAAGTTAATTAATGTCTAATTAATAATGCATTATGCAAGAGCAAAATCTTCTTATAACTGAAATGTTATCTAAATTATCAATTAGACATTAATTAACTGATCTAGACCATAATAAACTCTCGATGTCAAGGCTAGCCTTCGATGTTGGCTGGATTAGATTCCTATATGGCGCTAACGGCCATTGATAATTAAATCAAAAAAGTGGATAATCCAGACTATGCTGTTTGTATTAATGATTTTAGTAATGATGACCGAGACTATGCAAAAATTTCACTCGCTTCAGCAAATTACCTTTACACTATCTAGTTTTTAACTATTATAGCGAGAACTGCCATCTCTTTATCTTATCTCCCATAATGTATCTTTAATAGTTTATATAACATTTCACGCCTAAGAAAGACCTGCAATAGGCAGATTAAGCCCTTGCATAATGTATATTTAAGTTATCCTCAACTTTACGCACTCTAAAGGCATTATCAAATTGTAAGTAACCATCAACACACCCAACACCATGGATTCTAATATATTTAATATTATTTTGCGCAACTATTAAGATCGTCTGATTTTGTAAGATGGGCTGCTATTATGGATGCTGATATGGATCAGGTTTTTTATTGGGGTAGAGGAGGGAGGAGGAGGGAGGGGGAGGAGGAGGGAGGAGGGAGGGGGAGGAGGGAGGGAGGGGGGGGGCTTGTAGTGTTGAGTAGCAGTTTGAGGTTAAATGTTGAAAAGACATGTTTGATATTCCATTGTGGAGGAGATCATGACCAAAAATATTGAGGGAACGGCTGGTGAGTGTCGTGATTTTGGCTTTCTGAAACTAAGCTTCGAATTGCGTGAAAAAATATTCCATAAATTTGACAGAACTGTTTTCGGGTGGAATGAAAACAAACCGGTTTCATTACGATTAAAAATGTTTTCAGGAGAATACAATTCAATAACAGACGGAATGTGCAACCATAGATTGGTAGAACTGGCTGAGGTGTGCCGAATGTGTTAAGGCTTTGATGTTGAAACCACTCGTGCGTGATTCTGTTGATATCAAGGCATTCAACAAAAACCGACACGAGTATTAATCTCACTGATAATTGATTGATGATTACTTGTCAGTCTTTTGTAGGTTAACACGCACGGATTGGAGGCCGAACTATACAATGTTAATTCAATGCAAATCGTGTGACAGGGTCGCTGATTGATGACGTAATTCGTAATATTCAGAATACGGATTACTCAAAAAAGAATTTGGTTGAAGTAATAACGAAAATGATGACGGATTTCATAGAAAGCCGTAGTATTCAGAAGCTGGATGTGACAAAGTCTACTGTACAGACGTTTCAGATCATCTACAAAGAAGCAAAAAATAAATTTAAAACTTTATAAAAACAGAAAAAGAATGAGCACACTCAAGATATTTATTCTGATCTTTTGGGTGATATTCAAGATAAATGAAAATTCTGAAAAACTCTTAGAACTGTTAGAACAAGGCCATCATCTCTATCTGGGATAACACTACGACAAAGGTTTCAGTTGTGCAAAGCTAGTTTCATTTTGTTAATATTGTTTTATATATGGTTTGGATTGTTCGTACTTGGTTTTATTTTATTTATATATAGTCTGTAGACGCCTAAATAGTCGAGACTAATAACAGCTATATTTAGATATAGGTCACTGTAGTTATATATAGTGAGGGACTGGATATTTGATAACTGTATGAATAGTATGTTGACAGACTCTAATATATAGCAGCAGATATTGATATCTGCTATATATTATGTTTATTATAATTTAATAGAAACCCATGTCTTGTTATTTAGAATACTATTAGTGAGTTTATATCCCCATTATATACTCTTCAAAAAAAGTAGGGGATATTCAGATGCAAATACCTATGCAGGCTGTGATATGATAAATAGCCATGGACACTTGACATGCTTTGAGGGTATGTTCACAGATGAAGAACTTATCACCCCAACAGAACCACTGAGCTGCACATGGGAGAGGTGTATTGTCAAATTTGACACTTCAAGGAAGGGTTAATGAAAACTGCCGCGTGCTGGTTTATCCTATCCATGGTTGCTTTCCTGTCGGTTCTTGCATAAGATTTACTGTTTAGCGTATCTTTGCTTTAGTGTGTTAAGTTTAATTTGCAATGAGACGTATTCAAGATGATGAACGTCTACGTGCTATTGGCATGCTTCAAATGGGTTCTACACAGCGAGCTAAAGCCAACATGCTTAATGTGTCACAGTCAGCAGACTGTGGAATCGGTACCAACAAACACACAATGCTGATGATAGACCTCGTTCAGGTCGTCCTAGAGCCACTACACAAGCCCAGGATCGATACATTCGTACACAGGTCTTGCGAAATCGAGGACAAACGGCCAATCAGCTTTCTGTTAACTTGTACCAAGTTACAGTGCTACTACCGTGACCACATCCTGGCACCGATAGTTCTGCCCTTTGCTCAGCGTGCAGGTCGACGTTTCATCTTTCAAGATGATAATGCCCGTACCCACCGCGCTCGTGTCGTGAATGACTACCTCCAGCGTCACCATATTGTCCATATGCCTTGGCCAGTCATGAGTCCTGACCTTTCCCCTATAGAGCATGTCTGGGACATGACTGGGAGACGTGTTCGTCGACGTCAACATCAACCGACAACACTGCAAGAATTGGACGTGGCAAGAGGAGCGGATCCGATTGCCCCAAATCGTGATTGGACGGTTGATTAGGCGCATGCCACGACGAATTGCTGAATGTCTGAGGATTGGTGGAGCAATTATTCATTATTAAGACAAAAATCAAAAACGTCCATTTTCACTTTTGACAGTGTGTCTCTTTGAGAGTGAAATGGGGCCGTCAGATAAGCCGCCCATATGAACTGTTTATGTTCATGTGTAGGCAATTGGCCTGTTATTAACATACACTGGTTACCTCTAATAAACACAGC